CTCTCTCTCTCTCTCTCTCTCTCTCTCTCTCTCTCCCTCCCTCCATCACACTCACTTCACTGCCTCTCTGCAAGTTGAGCGTCTCCAATAGCGTTTTAGTCCCTCTTTGTGTTTCCCCGATCACCTCTGTCCGATTCAGCGCAGCTCTCGCCCCACCTGCCGCACGCGAGTCGGCCTTGGTCTCCGAAGAGCCCGGAGAAGGTCAGCGCTGACGAGACACCATTAAGAGCAACATCAATCAACACGTTATCGCTTTCCCCTTCTTCTGTCGCGATGCGCGTCTCTGACCATGCCATTAGGTCTTGAAAATGAGCAGCAACCGACATTCCCCCCGCTTTTTTATGTCGTTCTTCTGGGCTACATTTTTCAGTCATAATTTTTCTTTTCACCTTGTTTGAGTTTGGTCAGATAGTCACTCGTAAAAAAAATAAAGTGCTGACGTGGCTCCTACCAGGAAGGTAGTCCAATATCAATGCAGTATTAGTAGTTTTATTAGTTCGTAGTACATCGTGTTTTTGAAGGATCAATACTGAAAGAGGCTCGGCATTGGCCGACGCTGATATCGGCGCCCCCCGTTTTCATCCACCTCTTTGCCATCGTGAAAGTTGAGCTCAGCTGTTTTCTGGGTTTGCTCACGTGACGTTCGCAATGCGAGCCCGAGGACACTTTGTTGTCAGTTTCAGTCGACAGCAGGTGGCGGTACAGGATCAAATGTTAGCCCGCGCTAAGATGTATGACAACGGGTGGATTCATCAGCTTGATTCTTATTCCGTCTCTCCACCGGAATGTCGTGTTCAGCCAAGTGAGGGCACATTGAACATATTGCACAGACGATTTTGGCCTTGTCTTATTTGAGTTCCTGATCAAAATTTGCCATCAAAACAGATGAGTGGGACTGACAGGGAAATTGCCCGACAACAAGCTAACATTGTGCTCAATTACCATTCAAACCCGCCCACTTTTGAAAACAGGTCCGCCTTGGCGGAGGTCTCTTCTCGTGAGTGCCATCCTGTTGTTTTTATCCATCTGCAAGTGATGTCTCTCAAACTCTCCAACTGGGGCGAAAAAAAACAAAAACAACGCTAAACACCGGGTCTATTTTTAGCGTTTTGCGCTATTCTGCTCCAGTTGAGAGCGAACCAACAGATGGTCTCACCGCCACAGCCTTTGGGTTCTCTGCCCGCAAGTCTGTTTTGGGACCTTGTTTTTGTCAATGGGTCTTTTTTTTTTTTTTTGGAAGAATAGGATGCCTGGAGTTGAACCGACTGAAATGGCTGCTGTCACCACAGTACACTGTCTTGGTGAGGTGAAACACTGTTGACGAGGGGACATCTTTGCGGCGCGTGCTCCCCCATCAGCCACGTTTTGTCAACGCAAACAGGCCTTTTTGGGGAAACGCCAATTCCACTGCGGTGGCTGACTTGGCCAGCTGTAGCTCTGCTTGGCTTTTTACACAGCAGCATGGATGGATTTATGTCCCTAATATCCATCCATCCAGTTTCTAATCCGCCAATCCTCACGAGGATCGCGGGCGCGCAGGATTCCAAAATCTTGCACACGTTGACACATGTTTGATCGCGAGCGGTTGCAAACGATGGCATGCTAATGTCCATTTCAAATCCACGGTGTTGTCGTCGGGTGGCAAAGTCTTCTGGCTGATCTCGTGTCAGCGCTCCAACTCCGGATGCACGCTGCCGTGCTTGAGTTGCGCTGTCGTCGGATCAAATCATTCTCTTCCTCCTTGGCGACGCCCAACGCCTCAAATCAAAAAGAACTTCTTGTTGAAAAACAGACAAGCATTGTGCATGTATACAAAAGCTGTTGTTTGCTGATAGTTTCTCCCCCTCCCATGTTCTCTTTCCACCAGAGTTTCCTGCTTAGCGATACCTGCGCAAGAACCTGAACTTGAACTCAAGGTGGGAGTTATTTTTGAATTAACTGACTCAGTTTAATTAAGTTTTCATACGAGTTTCCTGTTTGAGCTGATTATTTGCCACATACTTTCTAAATCACAGTCTATAAAAATATGTAATAACATCATGTTAAATGTCACTTCAAATCTCAGCAGGTAGAATTGGACTCTCTGTCCAAACGTTTTTTTTTTTTGTTTGTTTTTGCCCCGTTTTCTTGGTTGAAAGCTGCTGTAACCTTCTCGTGCAGCCACTAGAGGGAGCCCGAGCATCACTGTGTTCAAGATAAATTGCAGTCGGGAAGAAACCAAAACGCTCCATCGTGACTGGCTGGGGAAGACATGATTAAAAACTGTCAATATAAACCATTCCAAATAAGAATATTGAAACATATTATTTTTTTGTCATTACCTATTTTCTCTTTGCTTAATTATTAACATCAATATTTCATCTGTTGTGACGTGATGAGAACCTTCATTGGCAGTTCTTTCTCTTGAAAGGAGAACTATTGTAATTGCTCACAATTATAAACAAATACTTTTGTTTTAAAAAAAATTATGATATTTTTAATCGTGTAAGTCACAGTTCATCCACTTGACTGAATATATGTGGCGCATGGCCACATCGCCAAGCACATCCCGCCCGCCGTGTTAATGCTAATCTGTGCGTCCAACAGAACTCAGTGCAGTTTGGTTTACCATTTGGCTTTTGATGTGATAGCGGGGACACCACCCGATGGTGGATTTGGGTGTTTCTGTATGTTAGTACCATGGTGGCGCAGTCACTTGAAAGTGGCTGTTGAGTTTAAACCAGCCTAGCCTCACAAATCATGGGCAGAAAAACTCTGGATGAGGGTTGGGTATCATGAAAATTCAGTCCCATTGTTGCTTTGTAGTTGAGGGAGGTGCGGAATGGTTCGCTTACGGACTTGTTTTCAGTCAACAAAACTTGCTTCATGACTTTCTTGTTTCATTTCACACTTGATGGGTGGGCAGCCACTACAGGCACTTATTTGTATCCAAGTCTTTAAAATCTCAAATTTGCTTTCTCCAGAATGCCACTTTGACGTCAAACTTCCACTGGTGTTGCATTAATCTCAGTCGAAAAATGTGAATGTTCACACTATTACCGCCTCCCCACTCTCTTTTCTGATCGGGCAGACGCAACCTGAATTGGGGGTAGGGAAACGAGGGAGAGTGAAGGAGGGAGAGTGAGGGAGGGGGGCTGAAGGAGAGAGAGAGAGGGAGAGAGAGAGAGAGAGAGAGAGAGAGAGAGAGAGAGAGAGAGAGAGAGAGAGAGTAGCTCTAAAGACTTGCTTCAGGTGTGAGCAGTTGCTTGAATGTCATGTGGACCGAGCGGGCGCGTTCGGCTGCAAGAGAGCGAGGAGCTCACGTGCTCGCAGCCGAGGCGTGATTTAAGCGCAGGTCGCAGCGCTTTCGGCACACTGTTGCTTAGCGAGCCAGCCATGACGCTTCGAAGCAACGGCGCACCCAATCAGGGCTCCTATTATTGCCTGATGCGACGCAGGTTCAAGAGGAGGCGCAAGAAACGCTCGGAACGCAAAGGTAACCCCGCCGTTCTGGCGGCGCTGGACTGATGGCAAACCCGGAAAGAGACAACTTGTACTTTGTCTTGTTGAGCTTCTATGTGGGGCTGTCGTCGTGTTGACACCTTACCAAATTGTGGGCGTTGATACTCTACCCGGCCTAAAGTCGCTCGATAACCTGAAACGATCCCGCGACGAAAAGCCTTAAAAATCAGTCAGCGCAGTGAAATAATAGATGACAGAACATGGACTTTCAAAATAATTTTGGGCAATGTAGAGTATGAAATGAAAGTGTTGTTTTTTTTTTGTTTTTTTTTAATAGTTTCGTATATCTCTGTCCCAGATGAATTTGGAATTGTGTAAAATGATGCGCTCGAATGTTGTCACAAGGCTTTGATCCATGTGACGCGCCAATTGAATAAAGGATGAAAGAAGTATTTGGCGGCGTCAGTACTCGAGCTACGCGAGTAATCCCTTCCAAAAGATGTGGACTACTGACATGATTACAGCTGAGGTGAAGAAGCTCAGAAACGAGGCCGGTATGTTGACGAAGAGTATCGTTTGGGTTTTTGTTACGTCGACTTCAGACTGCGCCGTTCGGTGGCAATATGCTGAGCGATGGGCCGTTTTGAATTGAACTAGAAATTCGCGACAACATTTAGCCCAATTCAGGCAAGCTCAGAAAGAACTTCTGTCATGCACGTGATATTCTTCTCATGTTGTTCAGGTGACTGTCACAATAGATGACACCGTGCCTTTTGCCTTTTATCGAATGCAAATTAGGTCAGTGCAGCTCCTTTCCCGCGGACTGCTCGGTTATTGTTATTTTTTCCGATCATAACCATAACATTAATGCTAGCTTCCCTCCGCTTGCCGATGGCATTTTGCAATATGTTAGCACTAAGCTTTCGTTTGACCAAGTTCTATCTATGGTTTACTGAAACATGTCTGTGTTTGACAGTGGTGTACAATGTACAACACTCTTTAAGCTGTCAATTTTACAGTCAACTTCAACTGAGAATTGCAGTGGACTGTGGAGTTTTATTCCTAAGCTGCTCCAAGTGTTGTCCCGTCACACTTGCCGTGATGTTGTTGTGTGAGTAAAGGGTCCTACGGTCCGCCGCGGAGCTTCCCTCTGGAGTTCGTTCACCCCACATGAAAATGAATTCTGGACTTATTGTATTGGAATGACTCAAAACAGCTTGAAGCAAGCACACTGAGCCTCTTTGTGACCAACTGTTGGCTATCCACCCCACAGCGTCGAGAAGTACCAACATGGCCGAACTGTTGGTGTTCTCTCTACGTGTATCAGTGGACTGTGGCGGCATGACACGTTTCCTTAAACTGGCCGTGGGGTGCTGGGAACGGGGGCCGGTGTCTCCTGAGGTTGCTCCTGGAGGGATTAAGTCAAACAACAGGTGTGGTCATTGCCCGCCAATATTGGTCGGCCCCTCGCATTGATAGCCGTCACTCTCCCCTCAGCGTCTCTTCGTTTGTCAAGCCGGCTCCGTTGAGCCAGATAAGTCCATCGCTGCTGAGGCTGCGTTTTTTTTTTTCTCCCCCCCCCCCCCCCCTTTTTTTCTGTCTCCGATCCTCCCTTGAGCCCCGTTTGCCGTGTGACTGACTACATCTATCAGCATTACACGGCTCTGTTGCCACACCTTCCTGGCCTCCCTTATCACCGGGGCACTGAAAGTGGCACTTTCTCAGCACTTACGGAAGTAGCGACCACTAAGCAGGATTTTGGGCAAAGTCTTGTCAAGCCCCCATCGCAGCCACCAAGCTTAGTCGTCCGCATTTTGTGGAGGACGAATGTAAATGCTGCACCCAAAAAAAAAAAAAAAAGGGTCTGTCTGTCTGCGCTGCCCAGGATCAGGCCACCAACCGGTGGTTGGTGTCCGCTGACTTAAACAAGGTCGTTTCAATCCGGCTCACTAGTTGGGTGAACGAGGTCACATTCGAGAGAGCGTCACAGGGTAAGGTGATGAAAATCTCTTCCCTTTGTCGCCGGGACAGCGAGGTCAGATTCAGTAGCCATGATACTGCGGCAGGCGCTTCATCAAGTGGAGATGAATGTCTACTTGGGTGGTCCTTCAACACGTCAATGTAGGCGGGACCAAGGTCGGCTCGGTGATCAGTCCGGTCTTGAACTTTAATGCAGTCCACTCTGCTGTCCCGACCGAACACGTGGCCGCTCGATTTGTTTGCCGGCGTGCTTGAACTCTGCACACATGGGAGGCTGCTTCTGTCGTTTTCAAATTGAAAAGATTTGCTGAGTTGGAATTTACTCTTCTCTGCCAACCATTTTCAAAGCAGGTTGAGAGCATTTTGGCTGTTCTTTAAAGAGCCACCCAATTTTGTGGTCTGTCACAATATAAGCAGCAAACCCACCAACGGTTTTTCTTAGCTTTTCTTTCTCCAGAAGAAAAAAAAACATTTTGAGCTTTATCCAATCTTTAGTAATCAGGATACAGTGGTGTGGTTCACCAAAATACATTGGTTTCGGACCCAAAAAGGATGGGGAAAAAAGTTGTGTCAAAAATCCGTCAAACAGAACAGTGATTTTTTTATTTTTTTTATTTTAACACCCAAACTATAAAACAACAAAACAAAGACTGAAAATGGGCTTTTGGTGGACAAATAGTCCTTTTTACAACTAAGAGACGCACTGTGAACGACACCGACTCACCGCATGGCTCGAGTTGAGCATCGGGATTTCTCATACACGTCATGAAGCGTGCCATCTTTTTTCTTGATCGCGACACACACTTCCAGCTCCCGACTGCAACACATACTCTGGTTAAAGACTTGAATTCCAGTGGACGAATATGAACACCCACGCCATTCAGTTATTTAAAGGGCATATTGTCAAATGAAGCAAATTAACGTGGATATCCTAGAAAAGGTTGCGAATCTGGAAAATAGACCGCTATGGCTTCACAACAGCTTTGTGATGATGGCATGACCCGTGACCGTCGTGATTTATGAGGTTGCCCTCAAATGAAATGAGTGCAAGGCAAGTCACTGGCAGAATGCGGAACTCCAGCATCTCCTCCAAATGCTAAGTTCCTCGATGCGTCGCTCATAAATGTGCCCAGCCATGACTCTTGTCGGCGTTGCTTTCCAATGGGCCGTATATGAAATATGGAGAATGGGGGGAGCGGGGGGGATTTTCTGCAATGCCAGCAGAATCTCGAAAATGAGCTTTGCAACTTGAAAAGGGGAGTTGTGGCGGTGGGGCACCTGATGCGAGTATCGTTCGTCACTCGTGTACTACATAACAGTTATTGATCTGCTGGCGTTTTGAGAATGATCCCCACACGGGCCTGCAATTACAACAGACGTACAACCTCAGTCAAAGAAAAAGTCAAGTTAACTGGCCTCTTGAGAGAGCGCCTCCTCGCTCTCTCCCGTTCTCACCTGGATGGCAGCTACGGCAGCGGGGTCTGAGGACAGTTTCCCGAACCAACGAGAGCACATCAGACACAGCATGTTACACTTTCTTTCGGAGCTAAACTGAAGGCAAATGAACAGTTAAAACATTTACATAGTTCGAGAAATCACAGGCGAGCGTGCCATATGGATGTCACGATAATCGGGCCTTATTAGAACATTTTTTTCCTTCCGCTCAAAGTCAGCAAAGACCCAATTATCAGATGTTGGAATATGTTCGTGGGCATATCTGGTCCGCCAGCGCGTAAGGGCATACAGAGGTAAGGTGGGGTGAGGCCATTTCAAGATTTGAATACAACTAGGATCTTAAAAAGAACTCTCAAATGTAGTGACGGGATGCCAGAGTAGGAGTTCTGTGCTCCCTCTTACGAGTACCAGTCAAGATGCGAGCAGCAGCATTTTGGACCAACTGGACCCGCTTCACGGAGGATTGGCTGACTCCAAAGTGGAGTGCATGACAGTAATGCAACCGAGATGTGACAAAGACCCAATACATGCGGTCGAGACACAGTCGAGCTGAGGCTAAGCTAATTGAACAGTAGCCAACTAGCAAGCTCGCACAAAGAGCGAAAGGTTGCGTTGGAATGCGTCCACCAAGTCGCAAGATGATTTCGTAAACACAATAGCAAATCAGGTCGGAGTTCACATCGCTTCTTTCATGTATTGATCAACCGCTACCGCTATTTCTTCTTCTTTGTATTTGCCAGCAGTCCGGATGACCTGTGGCACTCTGCTGCCTCTCGCAGGTCAGTCTTGGTACAACGATAGGCCTGTGGTTTGGAATGAGGCCTGATTGACAGTGTAGAGAGCCAAAGCAGGAAGCGCACACTTGACTTGTGTCAGATCTCTCACGTTTGAAACATCGCTTGTGATGTTTGAAATTGCGAAGTGTGACGTCCACTCGAGTTCTTCCCCTTGCCCGTTTCTCTCCTCCAGTTGATCTTGAGCTCCATTTTGACACACGGCGCATTCAGAGACTGTTTTCTCCGCCCGAAAACAGGTTTTGCTCTTTTGGAGTTCTGTTGTTGTTTTGTAAGAGTTTGGATATTTGCACACAGGTGTCGAGTATCCCAAGTTGGCTGCGTCGGGTGCTTGAGCACTGAGCACAGCAGCGGCGCGCGTTCGCACAGCTTTGAGCACACTCGGCCATGCACTCGGATCCCCGCAGGCGCTTTGTCTTTAGCGGTGTCATAAATCAGAGCTGTCACATAGATTTTATGGCGCAAAGAGAAGCGACAGGCGCCCAGCAACCTTGAAGAAGAAAAAAAGAGTGAAAAGAGAAAAAGATATATATTTTTTTATTTATTATTGTACTATAAGACCACACGGGCCGCAATTTCCAAATGGATGTCGACTGTTTCACACGGTGGGACTAGTACGCTCAAGGCACGGCGTTAAGATTTGATCGGCTGCCTGGCTCGTGCAAGTGTGATGGCTGAACAACTCCGATCGTTTGGACAATTGAATGATTTAACGACTGTGTGCAGCGGGCGTGTGCTGTCGTTGCTCGCAACTCCGAATCGTCAGACGTGAAGCAGGATTGAACATAAGAAATTGGCTGACGTC